ATTAATTAATTAATAATATTTAAAAATATTATTGGTTAAACAATCCTCCCTCACTTTCATCCTCCCAGTCCCACCATCCACTTGCCCTTCCATTGTCTCCCATTTTTAAGCAGATCCCCTTAATTAATTAATAATCATGTTTAGTAATCAGGCTGGTAATTACCAATTAACCTTAACCCCAATCTAATCAAAAAGGGTAAAGATTGTACCTTTACATTAAATTAGATGGAGGGCGTCATTGTAATTTCTTACATGAGACAGTGATGGCAAACTCTGTTTCATGTGCAACAAAATTAGTTGAGGAAACGCTTCCTTTTAAAAACACAATAGAAAAATCAGAACAAAGGAAACAGAATCCCAGAAGGAGACGGTATTTGCATTTCCCTGTCAATCCCGAAGGGCACTGGTCTTCTCACTATTTGATTCTCTGATTCCCTTTTCTGGGATCAGAGGATCAACCCTTTTTCTGAACGAGAAAAGAGGGCTCGTCGTCGTCCATCCCTTTCCCACATGCAATAATAATACAGAATTACAGAAGCACATGCAAACCTTGTTGGTTCTTCTTCTGGGTAGAAACTTCAGAAGAAATCAGAAAGGAATGCAAATTCTCATGGAAGCATAGTTGTAACCAAGGGAAGGAAAAAAAAGGTTGCTTCTTTTTGTCATTCTTTCAAATGGGTATTCCACAAGGTGGCGATAAGATGGAGGGATGGTTATATACTATTCGTTCCAATCGGTTTGGGCTTCAATTCTCGCGCAAACGCTATTTTACCCTCCAAGATAATGTTCTCAAGAGCTATAAGACGATACCCATTTCAGAGAAGGAGGTATTGATCACTTCATCTCCCTTAATTGCATCTTTTTTCTTTTTTTTTTTTATTTTCTTCTGTTTTTCCCCGTTTTGTATTGAAGTACAGGCTTGGTTGGTTGAATATGGATTTTGATATCTGTAATCTGTGTGTTTCTGGTTTTTCCTTTTCTTCATTGTTTATTTGTTGCATTCAACATTTTGCTTTGGTGACAATAATGAATCGATATAGTTTGAATATAGGTCTAACGTGATTTTTCTTAAAACAATATTCTTTCCGTTTCAAAATATAAGATAATTGACTTTATATAGTATATGAATAATAATTATAATTTTTTTAATCAAATAAAATGATTGAATAAGAATTATATATTAAAAAATCTCAATTATCATTTATATACTATAAAAAGCATTATCTAAAATTAAGGAAAAAAATCAAACAATTTATATTTTAAAACAAAATAAGTGCATGTTTTGTGTTTAATGTGTTTGTGTAGTTTTTATATTTTATAAATTTAATCGGTTGGCTCGTACCCTTGGTAGCCTATGGGCCCTACCTACAAATGATTAAAGAAGGAACAACATCTTGGAGACTGAATGACAATAAAGGTTGGAAGTAATGTAGTATGAAATGTATATTAACATACATGATTTATCAGCTCAATCAAGATGCTATTACTAGGTACCTTTGTAATTCAAGCTGTGATTTTCTCAACATTAGAATAATCAGGCATAATGGATATCTGAAACTCTTCTTTGCAGGAACCTGATAGGAGAGCAATAATAGATTCTTACATTCGAGTAACAGATAATGGAAGGGAGAGCATTCACAAAAAAGTATCATCCTTGGTCTCCCATTTTTATTTTCAAGAAGTGGATGAGTTTTATGTGTTTCTTTAAAAAGTAAACTTGTTTCCATCACATTCATGCATATCAAACTTTTTGTTACATGCAGGTATTCTTCATCTTCACACTTTATAATACTTCAAATCACAATGATCAGCTTAAGGTGTGGCATATTCTGATCCACTCGTATTTATTTGGCACAATGCAGTATTTGTAAGTAAAATGTTCTCAAATTGGAATTTTACAGTTAGGAGCAAGTAGTTCAGAGGAAGCAGCAAGATGGATTCATTCCTTGCAGGATGCTGCATTAAAGGTTCTAAAATTATAAACTTATAACTGCAAGTATAGTGGTTATTCTCATGATTAAAGCGTTATGTTATGATAACTTTTACAGGAATCTTCAGGTCAAGCGAGCAACTTTGTTGCTTCTCCCAAAAGGATGTGGCCATCTCTGAGGTAAGAACAGTTTCATAATCGAGCTGTGCAGTTTACACAATACTTTCACATTGAATGGAAAGATATTTTTAAATGTTAAATTTTGGAAGATGTCAGGCTAAAGAGTTTAACAAGTCAGCACTCAGAATACATAGATACACAGATACATATATGTGGAGCGGCTAGATGGTTAACAAAATATGCATACTTTAGGTGTTGTCTAATGGTGAACTGGCACAAATGTCATGTATTAGTTAGGAAAATGTAGTTCTTTCCATTTGTGATTCAAAATCATAGTTTAATACTTTAAATTTTAACTGAACTTCTTTCAGTATTCTCTACGTGCTGGCTTCCTGAATCAGAAACTTTTTCATATTTAGCCGAAAAGTTTACTCCTCCTTTCATTCTTTTATAGTTTCTAAAGTACTTATCTAGACCTATTTTTTTAATAATGTTTAATCCATTTTTCGTCATTTTTAAGTTGCTAGACTCCTTTTTTGCTTATAAATGCTACTCTGGCAGATTGAGTGCCACAAAGAGGACCCGCAGAAACTCTATGGAATGGATTTTTGGCCCATCATTGCATACTGAGGCAATGACCTCCGATGTTATTGCTCCATCACCTTGGAAAATATTTGGTTGCCAGAATGGTAAGATTCTGAATTCCTAATCTTCATTTCTATGGATTAAATGTATATATAACTTGAAGATTACATTACCTTAAGCAGGATTGCGGCTTTTCAAAGAAGCAAAAGATTGGGATTCTCGTGGACGGGTAGGTTACTCCTTTTATGCTACTCACAACTGCTGCACTTGATCCCTTGTTTATTTTTTTTTTTTTGCTTGGATGAAAAATGCTTCTTTTCTCAGCATTGGGATGATCATCCGGCAATAATGGCTGTTGGCATGGTAGATGGAACTTCTGAGGCCATTTTCCGTACAGTCATGGCTGTTGGGCCCTCAAGATCAGAGTAAGTAAGGGTACTAAAAATTTACCTTTCTTACCTTCACAAGCAATCCAATCTTATTATGTGGGTGCTAATGTTAGCAAACATCACATTTTAGTGAATTTTTTGAAACGTCATCCAAGTTAGCTTACAAATCTGTAGAACTAGAAATGTTCTCAACTCTCAAGCACTTGAAAATATCATCACCATTATATTATTTTTATTTTAGGAACAAGAAGTGATATCTAACCCGGAGGGAACAAGGAGAAGAACCCTAGTCTTGATCTTAACACAACCAAATCATTCTTATCATCCAAACCTAACTGAAATTTATGTTCATAAAAAAATGTTTATTCGAAGTTTCAAACTAGCTTCTAGAAAGAACAC